CGGGGGTGGGGTGGGGCAGAGACCTGGCCGCCTCACCGGACACCCCCATGGCCATCCGAGCTCGAGCGCTTTACGATTTCCAGAGTGAGAACAAGGAAGAAATCAACATCTACGAGAACGAAGAGTTGGTACTTTTCAGTGAGAAGTCGCTGGATGGATGGCTGCAAGGCACCAACTCCCGAGGAGAGACGGGCCTGTTCCCCGCCTCTTACGTGGAGATCCTTCGCTCCAGGTCCTCCTCCACGTACACCAACAGCCCCGCTGGGTCTCCTGGGAATGGGTCCTCCTTCTACGTCTCCTCGTCCGCCCCCGGCATTGCCCACCAGGGCAGCTTTGAAGACGACGAGGATGACTGGGACGATTGGGACGACGAAAGCACGGTGGTGGAGGAGCCCAGGAGCGAGGCGGGAACCAACGGGCACCCCTCGCCGAGCCTGTCCTGCCCCAGGCCCTACACTCACCCCAACAACGTCGGGGGTCGGGCCAAGCCGTCTTTGGAAAGGCAGGACAGCATCGGGTCTTCCAAGAGAGGAAGTATGGTCAGCCGGAACCTCAATCGTTTCTCCAGCTTTGTCCGCTCTGGAGTGGAGGCCTTTGTTTTGGGGGATGTACCCATGATGGGCAAGATCGCCGAGGCCTACTACATAGACATGGGCGCGAAAGGCCCACAGTGGCGGTCCAACCCGCACCCTTTCCTCTGCTCCGTGGAAGAGCCCACCAAACAGACCAAGTTCAAGGGCATCAAAAGCTACATCTCCTACCGGTTGACGCCCAGCCATAGCAACTCGCCGGTCTACCGGCGCTACAAACACTTCGACTGGCTGTACAACCGCCTGCTGCACAAGTTCACCGTCATCTCGGTGCCCCACCTGCCGGAGAAGCAAGCCACGGGGCGCTTCGGGGAGGACTTCATCGAGAAGCGCAAGCGGAGGCTGATCTTGTGGATGGACCACATGACCAGCCACCCGGCGCTCTCCCAGTACGAAGGCTTCCAACACTTCCTCAACTGCGGGGACAACAAGCAGTGGAAGATGGGGAAACGCCGGGCAGAGAAGGACGAGATGGTGGGGGCTAGTTTCCTCCTGACCCTCCAGATCCCAACCGAGCACCAAGACCTGCAGGATGTGGAGGACCGAGTGGACACCTTCAAGGCCTTCAGCAAGAAGATGGACGACAGTGTCCTGCAGTTGACCAGCGTAGCTTCTGAGTTGGCCAGGAAGCACGTTGGGGGCTTCCGCAAGGAGTTCCAAAAATTGGGCAACGCTTTCCAGGCCGTCAGCCAAGCCTTCCAGATGGACCCGCCTTACAGCTTCGATGCCCTCAACAACGCCATCTCCCATACGGGCAAGACCTACGAGGTAGTGGGAGAGATGTTCGCAGAGCAACCCAAGAACGACCTGTTCCTTATGTTGGACACCCTTTCCTTGTACCAGGGACTCCTCTCCAACTTCCCAGACATCATCCACCTTCAGAAAGGTAAGTCCTCTCTTTTGTCGTCGTCCCCTGAAGGACTGAGATAACAAGGTGGCAGGACCCGCCTTGCGTGGGGTGTCTCTGGGGTGGGTTAGCGGGGCCGAGAGATTGGACAGCTGCTTTCCTGGTTTGGAGGCAGGCGGGAGCCAGGATTGTCAGGCTCATCCTGCAGCCTCTTCACCTTTCATCCCGTGGAAAGTCCCCGTGAGGCTTTCCAAAAGCCAGAGCAAACGTTTCAGCCCCCCAGGAGAAGGCAGGGAGTAAAAGGGATGCAAATGGCAGAGGGCAGAGAGTCTGGCTTTTGCAAGTGCAAATGCACCATGTAGGAACGAGGAGAGCAGCCTCTGGGGAATTCTGGGATTTGAAGTCAGAATAATAGAGTTGGAAGAGGCCGGCAGAGATTCTGCTACCTGAGACTTCTCAGAAGACAACAACCGAATGGAAAATGGCTGGTGACTTTCTCCCGCTGCACCATAGAGAGTATTTGTAACTTACTGCACCTCTGTATGGTTTGCCAGTTGCACAGGGGCAGATAGGAAAGCACTCCAGAGGGTTAATGTCATTGCCCAGAGGATCGTGGGTTGCCCTCTTCCCCTCTTTGGAAGAGCTTTATACCTCCTGCTTGCCTTAAGAAAGTTCAAAACATCCTCAAAGATCCATCTCATCCTGGGAACCCCCCCTTTTTTAAAAAAAACTATTACCATCCGGCAGACGGTACAGGATAATAATAAAAACAAGGACAAATAGGCTGCAATACAGCTTCTATCCCAGGGCAGTAACTCTACTGAATTCTACTGCATAGTGCAATATGAATGCAATATCGGGGTTTTCCGTTCAGTATGTGGAGTGTGAAGGATGTGCGTTTGTGTGTATTTTCATAATCATAATGTACACTGAAAATGGTATTTAATTTTGTTGGATGAGGTGCAGTGACAATAAAGTAAAGTAGCCTGTGGGGAATTATGGGAGTTGAAGTCAGAATAATAGAGTTGGAAGGAGACTCAGAGATCATCTAGTCCGGGGGTCTCCAACCTTGGCAACTTTAAGACTAGTGGATTTCAATTCCTGAAAAGCTGGCTGAGGAATTCTGGGAATTGAAGTCCACTAGTCTTAAAGTTGCCAAGGTTGGAGACCCCTGTTCTAGTCCAACCCCCTGGGATTTTACAGAGCCCAGAAATTCAACAATTACCTGATTCATTCATTTGGCTTAACACAAGCCCACCCCCAAATAAAATTGGGGAACCACTGGGTTGATCTAATTCCTACTTCAGCGAGAGGCCAATGTCCTCAATCCATCACCGATTCAGAAAAGAGAAGACAGAGATAAAGAGACGCCTAGCCGGAAACAAGATGGCTTGAATAAATCCGTCATTCAAATATTTCTAAGAAATGAAACGTTGGCTCTTTCTGGTTGGAAGAGAGGGGAAGGCAAAGGAGAGGCTGATCTCACAAACCAGTTGCCCCAGGGATCACGCCATTGCTCTGCAATACCTCCCAGGTGTGCTCCACCTGTTTTCCTTTTAAAATGAACAGGAAGTGGGGCCTGCTGGAAAGGTAACCCGATCCAGGTAAACCAGGAGAGAGGACATTGGCAGGGAGGGGGGCCTCTCAAGGCTGTGATGGCACGCAGCCACCTTGTCTTTGGATAACTGGGGGCATCGCTGGTCTTGCCTCACCTGTTGGGAGGGCACAGAAGGTTGGCAGGCGTTCCGAGGGCTCGGAAGGCAATTGGTGCGCTGGTGTGTCTACCTGTGGGAAAGAGAAGCCATTGGTTCCCACAGCAGGAGGAGGAGGAGGAGCGCTGGAAAGGGATCCCAGGTGTCCGGGAAGCCACTCTGGAAGACAAGTAGGGACAAGTAAGGGGGAGGGGCCTGTGAGTAAGCAGTGAGCAGCTGAATAGGAGGAGATAGGAGGAGAGAAAGCCCTTGACTTACAACGACAGCTGAGACAGGGATTTCCTTGGCTGTTGCTCAGTGAACGCCTGCTGTTGTTAAGTGAGTCACATGGCTTTTCGATATCCCCCCATTCACTCTGCTTGTCGGAAACTGTTGGGAAGTCACAAATACTGATTACATGAAGAAAGAGGGAGATTAGAGAGATGATAGAGTAGATTAGAGAGATACATAGGTAGGTAGATGATAGAGATATAGAGATAGACAAATAGATGATGGATGATATATCGTGATAGATAGCGATAGATATAGAGAAAGATAGATAGGTAGGTAGTGGTAGATAGATAGATGATAGATAGATAGATAGATAGATAGATAGATAGATAGATAGATAGATAGATGATGGGTGATAGATAGTGATAGGTAGATAACGATAGAGATAGATAGATAGATAGACAGACAGATAAATGACAGATAGATAAATAGATGATGGATGATAGATAGTACATAGGTAGATAGCGATAAATATAGAGATAGATAGATAAATAAATAGATGATACAGATAGATACATAGATGATAGATAGTAGATAGGTAGATAGAAAGTGATAGAGATAGATAGATAGATAGATAGATAGATAGATAGATAGATAGACAGACAGACAGACAGACAGACAGACAGACAGACAGACAGACAATAGACTCACACAAACACCCATGCACATATATACAGTTCCTCCACTCAGCCCTAAGGCAAGACAGAATTCCTCTGGAGGCGCAGAAGTGAGGAGAGCTCAGGCCAAGCCGCCTTCAAAGGAAGCCACGTCTCTGCCACGGAGCCTCTTCTGGAGAGGACGGAGGAAAGTCATCCGGGGTTCCCTGCAGAGAGAGCAGAAGAGAAGCTCCCCAGACATCCCTGAGCCACCTCCCTGGGGATATCTGACCTCTGTAGTGCAACTGCAGAAGGACAGAAGGCAGTGCCCCAGTCCCACCAACCTGAAGGCCTGAAGGAACCTCAGAAGGGCAGTGCAGAAAAAGCTGGCGTGTCCTTTTTTTTTTTAAACCCACAAGTTTTGAGGCTGGGCGCCTGCGTGGATGGATTCCGACAAGGTTAGCTTTTGTCCATGGACGTTTTAGCAGGTCGGAAAGCCTCCTGGACGGAAGTTCTCCAACCAGGAAGCGTGGGAGAGCTTGTCGGAGCAGGTCGAACCGGCTGAAGGCAAACACTGGCTTTAGCCGGAGGTTAGAGGAACAAGCGCCGGAGATTAAAGCTGACTCTAAAGATAGAGCCATGCTCTTAATACATCTCGGGACAGACAGGTAGGGAGGTACTCTGATCGGCTTTGATAGGGTGGCTTCCACCTTCTTACGTTTGCACTTGGACCTCGGAGGGAAGCGGAAGGACGATCTTGGCTGCAAAAAAACCCCAAACCCTTGCAGGTTGCAGGAATGGAGTGAGTTCCTTTCCAGTGGAAAAAAATCTTGGATTGTTGGAGAGCCACAGAGAGCAATTCTTGCCAGTTTTTTATTTTATTTTATTCTTTTGCAAGTTGCTTTTTTTCAGGATAAAGAAGGCTTGGAACAGAGGTCCCCAAACTTGGCCACTTTAAGACTTGCGGACTTCAACTCCCAGAATTCCTCAGGCAGTTTATGGTTTATTAAAGGCTGATGGTTAAGGATCTCAGCTGCAATACAGGGCAATTCATCTCAATATTTAGGACAAGGTTGTCCAATCTTGGCAAGGCTTGGCTGGCTGAGGAATTCTGGGAGTTGAAGTCCACAAGTCTTAAAGTGGCCAAGTTTGGAGAGCCCTGGTGTATACACGCGAGGGATCATCCTTCATTTAGATAGATGTATATGAAAAGGCTGTCCATATTCATCCCATCAAAACGTTTTGAGTTGGGCTTAGCTGGCTGAGGAATTCTGGGAGTTGAAGTCCACAAATCTTAAAGTTGCCAAGTTTGGAGACCTCTGGCTTGGAACAACGCTTCGAGAAATACAGGGCTTTGCAAACAGGCCACAGTATATCGTCACAACTGCAGAACACAGATAGCTCTCAATGTATTGATTTAGTCTCTGTTCAAAGTTGGAATGGCACCGAAACAAATGATGGTCCTCGCACTTCCGACCATCCCTATGCCCACGTCAGAATCTGATTGGCAACCAAGCATGTATCTCTGATGGTTGCGGCCTCTCTAGGTCACATGACCACCCTTGGTGACCTACCCTGCTGACCTCTTAAAAGTCAATGGGAAGTGCCAATTCACTTAAGGACTACACGGTTCACTTAAGAACTGCAGTGGTTTAACTCAGCCGTGGTGAAAGGGTCCTAAAATTGGGCCTTGCTTAGCAGTGGAAATCCTGCTCCCAGTTTTGGCCATAAGATGAGGACTACTGTACCTGTTTGGTAGGACAGAGTTTCTCAATTTTACTAACTTGGAAGACCGGTGGACTTCAACTCCCAGAATTCCCCAGCCAGCATGCCCCCCCCCCCCTGCTTCTAATGCCCATTCGGTAGGATTCCGTTAAACGGAGGTTTTATGAAGTGTGTATTGACAATTCAGGTGTATGAGAGACAAGACCTAACATCTTTTCCACTGTTGGAAGTTAAAACCCAAATATCCTAGGAAATGTTAAAAAAGGCAGAATATTTCCCCTAAAAAGAGTAGAAACTCAGCCCTCAGCCCTCAGCCCTCACCTTTGCTAATGGGCCATTACTCTGGCCTAGGCCAGCCTATTTTACATAACAAAGATCTTCAGGTGGAGCTATAGGAATTGCCCAAAGCCCTTTCCAAGCCTGGAGCTCAGGACAGCCTACAGAGTTGCCCCTGCCTGGCCCCATGGGAGTCTGACAACCGATCAGAATACAAGGTCAAATTGAAATCCCAACAGAGCATATAAAACCCAGGCACTTTTAGCATCTCAGCCCTTCCTTCTTTGGAGCTTCCAAGGCACGTGGTTCTGTCCAGCATTAAACCATGTTTCCAAACAGCCTCCATGTTTCCAGTGTCTTTTCCTCTACTTGGAACTGAACCCAGAAAGATGATTCTTCCAACACTACATCCCAGACTAATCTCTGCAGAATTACTCAGGAGTTGTTTTTTTAAAAGGTGTTAAAAGGCTGTGCTTCTTCCCTTTGTATAGGACTGTAATAAACCTGGATTACATTTCCACTGCAACGATAGGAATAACTCAGGCTCCTTCCGCATCTAGGCGTCTGCAATAGTTATGCAGATCAGCGGGTAATTCAGTTGAAAACGCCTCCTCTTTATTTTTCTACTAGGTGGAGAACAATTTGCTTCTTTTTCCCTTACACTCATTAGATTTTGGGGGGTTGGATTGGGACCTACAACTTGGTAGATCGGGCCCAAGGTTTTTGCAACACACTTAACTACACTGCGTGCCTCGTTTAATGTCTGTACTAGGCATCCATCAGCCCTGACCTTAGCTGTGTGGCTGCTCTGACCCACGCCCTTTTCCAACAAATCGAAACAAAATCCCAAAGGAACAGAAACCTTTTAATGTTTCTGCAAAATAGTTAGGTGTGATAAGCACAAGCCTTACCAAACTGTGTGAGAGGCCCAAAAGGTAACAGACAAGAAATAATTTGCAATACAAAAATCTTCTAATATGAACTCAGGATACTGGAATGTCCACGAGGTGGAGTTTCAAAACGTCTTTGCCTTCTGCAAAGAACATTCATTTCACACCTGGCTTTTATCTGCTTGAAGGAGGGGCCGTGACCTTGCAGCCTTACTCCTGAGTTGCCCATGCTGTTGCAACTGCTCTTTCCTGCGAGCAACCTTGCGTGCACGTGCACTTGGCACAGGCTCCTCAGGAACCTCCTCACTGCTGCTGCCAGCCCCCACAATCTCTGAAGGCAGCAGTCCACTCTCTAATGGTCCTGGCCCCTCATATGAACCCTCGCTCTCCTCAGCCATCCACACCTGCTGCCGGCTAACCACAACAGTGGCCAGGTTTAATATTTAAAAGGCTGCCCAGTTCAAAACATACAAAGGGCCACTGAGCAGAGTTGCACATTTTTCTGTGCCATGCCACACAAGTGTCTTATCTCATTAACTCAAGTTCCTGACATCAGCGGAAAACTAATATTAACAGAGGCACCATTCATGTCTGTGCCCAAGTCACACTTCCTTCACAGCATCCACACCGCACTCACGCTGAGCATTTGGATGGCCGCGTTCTGTTGGACCCGTGCTTCTCAACGGTGGGAACTTTCAAAGGCTGTGGACTTCAACTCCCAGAATTCCCCAGCTAGCACGAATGAATTTTCTGCTCCCCATTGTGGTCGAAAGTCGAAAAATTAGCCAAGCGCCTGAATTTGGATCATCTGACCGTGGGGATGCTAACAATCATAAGTGTGCAAAATGGTAATAAGCCCCTTTTTTCAGTGCCGTTGTAACTTTGGTCACTGAACAAACTGTGGTTAAGTCAAGGACTACCTGTGTTTTAATACTATCTGCAAAAGAAAAAAAGAAGGAAAAATAGAATAGAACAGAACAGAACAGAATAGAATAACAGAGCTGGAAGGGATCTTGAAGGTCTTCTAGTCCAACCACTACCTAGGCAGGGAACCCTAGACCATTTCAGACAAATTGTTGTCCAGTCTCTTCTTAAAAGCCTCTAGTGATGAAGAACCCACAACCTCTGAAGGCCAGTCGTTCCACTGGTTAATTGTTCTGACTGTGAGGAAATTTCTCCTCAGTTCTAGGTTGCTTCTGTCTTTGATTAGTTTCCACCTGTTGCTTCTTGTCCTATCCTTGGGTGCTTTGGAGCAGTGGTTGCCAACCAGTGGGCCGGGGACCACTGGTGGTCTGCGAGAAAATGTTGGTGGTCCACAGAGAAATGTCACCCCCCAAAGCAATTAATCCAGGCTGCGCAGTAACACAAAGAGAAAGAAAGACTTCTGCTGCTTCTGCTGCTTTCCTTGCATGAAGCCAAAAGTCTCTCTCTCTCTCTCTCTCTCTCTTTCTCTCTCTCTCTCTCTCTCTCTCTTTCTCTTTCTCTCTCTCCCTGAGAACAGAGCTGGAGATGGCATCCTGCGATCCCAAATAAAGAAGGATTAATTGGTAGGAAAATGGGGTGGGGAATTGTCCTGCATGCTTTTGGGGGGATTTTCCCGGGGTCTCTCATCCATGGGATTTAAAATTATGAGTTTGGTGGTCCCTGAGGCCCAAAAGGTTGGTGACCTCTGCTTTGGAGAATTAAAGGGCTCCCTTTTCTTTGTGGCAGCCCTTGAGATATCAGAAGCCTGCTACCAACTCACCCCTAGGCCTTCTTTTCATCAGATTAGAAATACCCAATTCCAGCAACTGTTCTTTATATGTTTTAGCCTCCAGCTCTCTAATCCTTTTCGTTGCTCTCCTCTGCACCCTTTGTAGAGTCTCCACATCCTTTTTACATCGTGGCAACCAAGACTGGGTGCAGTCTTCTAAGTGTGGCCTTACCCAGGCATTCAAAAACTATTGAAAATGCTTGTGCGTGCAGCAGATGCTCCCCGAGACTCTAAAAATCTATGAACTGACAGCAGAAGGATTTGAAATTTGGACAGGTGTGAGAGGATTTGCTCTCTGTCCCCCGAGCAGTGCATTCCATAAGGGGAACTGGGGACAAGGTTGCCAGGCTGGTGTGGTTTATCTCCCCGGTGATTCATACACAAACGCCAAAGCCACACCTGTGGATTCAAGGTGAAGTTGGCTCTGGCTGAGGGATTCTTTTCTCCCCAAAGTCTGAATCACAGGGGGAGGGCAAATGTTTGCAGGCCCTGTGGCGTGTAAGGGGAAGGTAGCAACGAAGGCCCCGTCGTTTGCAAGAACGTCAGCAAGACAAGAGTTGCAGCTCAGGAGAAGCTGTAGTTCAGGGAACAAACCACGATTGGCTGGGTCGAGATGTAGCTGGCATGTTGTATGTGACACCATGGATGGGTTCACCCAGGGACTCAAACGGCAAACGTGGGTTGACTCACCAGAGACGGTCAGCTTTTATCAAAAAAAAAGGCAATCACGAATATCCCGAAGAGGATTTTCAAAGACAACTGGGCTTGGGTGGTTTTTCCTTGGAAATGTTTCGCTTCTGATCCAAGATGCTTCTTTGGATCTCAGAAATTCCTTGGACGAGAAGCGAAAGAGTGCAAAAAAACAAAACCCAAGGAAGTCCAGTTGTCTTTTGGAAAAGCCCCTTTCGGACAACCACGACCTGGATGAGTGAGAATCTCCTGAGGCAATCATGATTTTGACATAGGCAGACGTGGAGAAAAGGGGGAGCTGGATATCTTACCTGCCTCCCCCCCAAATTCCTCGGCATGATCGAATGAAATAAGGTGGATGATAATGATGGTGGTGATGAAGTCTAAACAGATACTCTTCCAGCTCATGAATTAAAAGCAAGTCTTCCCCAGACACCACAAACCAGAAGTTTCATTGCACATTTTCCATTTAGCAAATCTGTGAGCTACGACTCACTTCGTTACCCAAAATTCACTCCTTGCCTTTGAAATCAGCTCAGGAAATCCAAGGCCTTTGACTCAAATGGGCAACTTAAAGGGATGCTTGCAGAACTTTTATTTAACTGTTGGCCATTGTAGACTTGTAGACTTCCTTGATGTTAGAACAACCAGTCCGCGGTCCAATTTGCCTCCAGAAGTTGTGTGTCATGCCCCTGTCGGAATCTGACTCGGAGGAGAAAGCCAAACAGTTGACAGGGAGTGGGAGTGTGGCTCCATTGGCTGTGGAAGAAACTGGGGAAGGGCACAGCCTGACTGGACAGAGCAGGGGAGAGGGAGGACAAGGGTGAGGGAATTCAGAGGAAGACCCAGGCCCTCTTCATCTAGGGCACGCAGGGAGAAACAGAGAAGGGAGCAACGTGAGTTGCGTGGCTTATGGGGGAGGAAAGGGCTCTGATTCCCTTCATTAGCTGCAGCTGGGTACACAGTGTATAAAAAAAGGAAGCGTGCAGCAAGCTGTTGGGAGCAAATGTGAATTTATCTTGTATCGTTGTGGCTTCTCTGTGTTCCTGGCATCTTCCCAACTGTGTGAGTTTTGCCGTGCTTTCAAGTCTGAAATTCTTTCTCCTGCCCTGCCAAATGAATTACTTCAGGTTGGTTGGTTTGGATTTTAAGTTACAGTTTGTATGTACCTTGTTTTGGGCTGAATTTTCTACAGTTAAAGGCTGTTCCTGGGAGAGTGTTTTTCTCCAGCCGAAGGTAACCTGGACATTGGGGGCAAAGTTGGAGATAATAAAGGGACTCTTCTTGCTTATTTGACTGTGTGGCCTTTGTGCCACGCCCCTTTGGGTCATCACATTGTGATCGTTCCATCTTGAAGAAGAGATTAGACAGTTGTTTTGTCTGAAATGGTATAGGATCTCCTGTGTGAGAAGAGGTTGGACTAGAAGACTTCCAAAATCCCTCCGATCTCCATTATTATGATTAGCCCAGTTCTCTTCATGCTCAAACAGTCTTTCCTCTCACTTGCCCGACTCAACGTTGGTCAGTGTGATCTTCGGAGGCCTTTTATAACCTTGGTGAACTGTCCTTTTGCTTCTCTCCCCCACCACAGGTGCGTTTGCCAAAGTGAAGGAGAGCCAGCGGATGAGCGACGAAGGGAAAATGGACCAGGAGGAGGCGGACGGGATCCGGAAGCGTTGCCGAGTGGTTGGCTTTGCCCTGCAGGCCGAAATGAATCACTTCCACGAGAGGCGCATCTTGGACTTCAAAAAGATGATGCAGTCCTACATCCGGGAGCAGATTGTCTTCTACCAGAGAGTCAGCCAGAAGCTGGAAGAGACGCTGAGGAGGTACGACAGCCTCTAGTAAGCCCGCCAGATATTGGAGCTCAGGATGGTCCTGAATGCTAACCGTGCCCTCAGCTGGGATGAGCATCAGTGACTGCGTTTCCTTCTCCGCCTCTGGGAAAGGGAGGTCTTCTCCTTGTGGTGGACCATGGGAGGTCCATTCCATTGACTTGTGCTCTCCACCATCTTCACGAGGCTAAACTTTGAGCGCCGAAAGGGAAACTCGTAGCTCCCCTGTCGTGACCAAAGCTTGGGATGGGGTGGTCCCCACCCATTCTCTTCCAATCGCAAGGACCCCGCCCAGAATCATTGCACAAAAGACATTTTGACGAGCGGAATTCTTTTCCTCAAGAAGAGCCGAGCTTTTGGCTTCCTATAGCCTTGTTTTGTTTACAGAGGAAGTAAAAGAATTTGCTTTCCAAAGGAAATGTAGCTTTTCGCTCTAGCCAGCTTTCTTTTTTTCCCTCTCTCTCTCTCAGGCTTGATTTTTTTTCTGGAAACACACCAAAAGAAAAAGAAAAAAAAAGCACACAACTTAATTTATCCAGATCCTTTCCAACACCAGCACTTCCCGTTCTCCTCCAGAAAAGGAACAAATTCAGGGTGAACCCAGTTCAGGGTTGTTGTTTTTTTTCTTCTCAAGGGAGGACGATCTTGCAGCGCAAGAGAACAGAGAGCGAAAAATGGAGGCGAAGTGGAAGGGACGCAAAGGTTGGCACGCCAAAAACGGCTCTTTTGAGGAAGTCGCACAAGCAGCACACGCTCGCTTCTGACGTTCTATTGCTGGTAGTCCTCGACTTAACGACCACAGCTGGGCCCAGAATTTCTGTTGCTAAGTGAGTCCGGTTGTCAAGTGATTCTACCCACCCCCCATGTTATGACTGTCGGGTTTCCAAGTGATGAAACTCGTTCTTGACGTAGTCGTTAAACAAACCTCTGCAATTAAATTAGTCCCACGGTCATTAAGCGAGCCTGGTTTTCCCATTGACTTTGTTCACCAGATGGTTGCAAAAGAGGATCAGGGGTCCCCCCGGGACACCACAACTGTCCTAAATACAGACATCTGAATTTGGACCACAGGGATGCTGTCAGGGTTGTTGGAGTAAATACCGGTCGTAAGTCATTTCCCCCCCCCCCCAGTGCCGTTGTAACTTTGAGCGGTCACTAACCAGACTGTTGTAAGTCAAGGACTACTTGGATATAGACATACAAGGAATAGGCATGCATTTTTATAGCCACTCACCTCTGCACTCGCCCGAGTAAATCCAGAGTTACTATTTTTTTTTCCTCCTCTGAAATCAGAGCAGACCTCAGAAACAGCAGTTGTGCGTTCTGGATTTGCGATCTGCAAGACGGACGTTCAGATGTCCAAGTTGGATGGTGTCTGTTTTTGTTTTTGTTTTAAAAAAAGGTTTTCTCCTCTCTGTGGTGAATAGGACTCAGATATGGATGTCGTACATGGCCTTAAATCAAGAAATGGCTGCTTGGGACTCAATGTTTCTCCTCTGACCTGCTGTGATCCACTTCTTCTTTTCCTTCTCTTGATCTCCAAAGAATTGGGGGTTGAATCGGGTGGGAAATGTTTGGCGAATAAAACCTGGGGTCTGGGAGATAAACGAGAGCTTGGTCTTCATTGTCTTCGGGGCGAATCCTCAGCTAAGACCACAAAGGAGGCCCAACGTTTACGTTTGCTAAGTGAGAAATTTTGTTCATGAGTTTCGGTTCCTGTTTTGTGGCTTTTCTAGCCGCTGTTATTAAGCAAATCCCCGCGGTTCTCCAGTTGGTAACCCGGTTGTTACGTGAATTTGGCTTCCCCGCTGACTTGTCAGAAGGGTCTCCAAAGGAGGTCAGATGAGCCCCAGGACGCTACAACTGTCCTGAATATGAGTCAGTGGCCAGGCTGTTGGATTTTGATCCAACGGCCATGGGGGAAGCTACAACAGTTGCATGAAAAATGCTCCTTTTTTTTTCAGTGCCGTTGAAACTTTGAATGGTCCCTAAGCAAACTGCTGTAAGTTGAGGACTTGCTGTACCTGTGCTCCTTGCAGAGGGCAGAGAATTGTAGGGAAGGAACTGGGCAGACCCAACGTTTGAGGGCGCTCCCTTCCCAGGACAGGGAGGTGGAGGGCAGGGGAAGCGGCAAACGTCACTGGAGCTGGAGGTCTTTGGGGGAATCCATTGCAAGTTTGAATGGTTGCTGAGCAACCGGTTGTAAACTGAGGAGTACCTGAATTCCTCGCAGGGGCAGGGAATTCTAGGGAAGGAGCTGGACACACGCAGCTATTGAAGGCACTTCCTTCCCAGGACAGGGAGGTGGAGTGCAGGAGGACCTGCAAACGTCACTGAGCTCTGGACAGTCAGTTGGCTGGATGCCGCCGGCTTTGTTTTCTGCAGGGAGATTTCGCAGATAATCAAAAGTGAGGAAAGGAACCCAGCCAATCCAAATTGTCACCCAGGGCAGAGAAGGAAACAATTAGTCTTGTTGGGGAAACAGACTCCAAAACATGCCTGTGACCCCAGGACGAGCAACGGACGGGGCTTATTGTTGTGTCAGGAGCCTGGCAGACGGAGGCCGTAACCTGTCTTCCCTGGGAAATAGGAGGAGGCCCCAAAACAAGCAAGGAAACCATTTTACACCCAGATCCAGATCGTTTCTTATTTTGCATGGAATCCTCAGGGGGGTGTACAAGCTTGTTGCAGCTTCGAGAACCTGGTTACAACCGTCGCATGAATAAGGTCTCCAAATTGGGCTATCCCACCCTGGGTACATTGTGGGTGTTCAGTTGGGGGTAGTGCTCCTCATTAATATTCAGCCGCGGGTGTCATAATCTTGTTGCCAGCAAGCCGTGAGCCAAAAATCAAATTCCAAGTCTCAAGTTTTTTTGAAGTCCAAGGATGTTGGGTTGAGGAGGTTTTTTTTTTTGGCTCTTCCATCTGAGCTTCCAAACTCACACCTGTACTTTGGGGGTAGGTGGGTGGGGGACAGAAAAGAGAGAGGGGGGGAGAATCCCCATTTCCCATCTCCAAATCTCAAATATTTTCCCCGGAGCAGCCTAGTAAGCCAACATCCCTTCACCCTTCGCTGTCCACATCCTAGCGATTTTGTCGGTCTCCTTTTCCAGGCAAAATTAGCTTGTGGAAAACCACAGTGAAAATTGCATTCCTGCTCTTTTGGTGGTTTTGCAAAAGGATGACCAGTTATTGTGTCTGGTTTTTTATTTTATTTTTAAAAAAGCTATTTCTCTCCCAAAGGGTAGTAAGAGCAATTGGTAGAATGGATTGCTGTGTTCAACACAACAGGCAAGGCAAACGATCCAACACCCAATGCAACAAACTCTATGGGCCTGGGACACGTACGCACACAGTGTCTTTTTAGAAGGAAAATTTGCAGGCTTTTTTTTTTTTTAAAGTGATTTGTATACAAGGTGGAAAGGAGGATCCCCACCGAGAAAGGCAAAACAAATGAAGGAATCCAGAAGTTGAGGTGGGCAGATTCCAGGCAGCTGGATTAGATTCTTCGTAGGTGAAGAAGGTGGCATTTAATTTCATTGCAAGAGGTGCAATGCCAATAAAGTAAACTAAACTAAACTAATTAAACTAAAACTAAACTAAATTGGATGTATGAATGTGCCAAACCTGGAACGATGAGGAATCCTTGACAATTCAATACCAGGAGCTGCTTGGTGGTCCTTGGTGCCCCCTGAGCTTGGTTGTTTTCTTGGCAGACGTTTCATGACCCAGCTAGGTAACATCATCAGTGCTATAAAAGAATGGGATTTAGAGAGGGGAGGAGGAGGAGGACTGTAGAGTCCTTGGAGCTCTCTGAACTTGCTTGTTTTCTTGCAGACGTTTCATGACCCAACTAGAGCTACATGCAATTGCTTTTCTGCTACCTGCATTTGACAAACTCCCAGCGGCGCCCGGCAAAGATCAGGGAATTTGTGCCCCAATCTGAGACAAATTGAGGAAAGGTCGTCATCCCGCACCAGAGGCTCTTGTTTCTTGTCAACCCCCCCCTCGCCTCCCCCACCCACCCCCAAGAGTCTCCTTGCTCAGGATTTTAGAGTGTGTTGTTCTGTCTAAAAATTCCTTGGCAGCAGCTTTGCAGAAAGAAGTTCAATGATCTTTGGACCGGAAGGAGCAGATTCCTGCCTCTGCTTATCGAAAACATGTCGCTTGTGCTCTCTAAAGAAGACTTTTCAAGTCCGGTGAGGCTTCAGACTTTGGCTCCGCACACTGAAAAAGAAGTACAAACATTCAGACTCTGAGATCTAATTATAAACCCTGCGCTAAGCCATAGCTACACATTATAGCTGTGTAGGGATTCTCAACCCTGACACCTTGGAGCTGGATGGACTTCAACTCCCAGAATTCTCCATCCAGCAATTCCAGGAATTGGAAGTTCATCCATCTTCAAATTGTGGGCTCAATTATTGTCATAACCCAAAAACTGTGCTCTAAATCAGGGGCCTCCAACCTTCACACCTTGAAGCTGGGTGGTCTTCAACTCCCAGAATTCTCCAGCCAGCCATTTCGGGAATTGGAAGTCCACCCATCTTCAGGTTGTCAACTTGGAGAAACGTGGTTTAGTGTGTTCTGCCAAATCCATCCTGCTTCCTTAGTTGATGGCTTCCAAGCTGGAAATGTGGAACGGGGTTAAGCCGGTTGTGCAAACGTACAAGAGGTGAATATGCCCAAGGCTACATAAGAGCCATGGTGGCGCAGTAGTTAGAATGCAGTATGCCGGGCAAACTTCTGCTCACAGTCTGGAGTTCAAGTCTGACTGGCTCAAAGTTGACTCAGCCTTCCATCCTTCCGAGGTGGGTACAATGAGGACCCAGATTGTTGGGGGCAAGAGGCCGACTCTGCAAACCGCTTAGAGAGGGCTGGAAAGCACTGTGAAGCGATATATAAGTCTAAATGCTCTTCCTTCCTTCCTTCCTTCCTTCCCTCCCTCCCTCCTTCCTTCCTTCCTCCTCCCTCCCTCCCTCCCTCCCTCCCTTCCTCCCTCCTTCTTCCTTCCTTCCTTCTGTGCAATGGTGTATTAACTATTAAGCAGGCCAGAGGTGGTATTCAGCCGCTTCGGACCAGTTCTGCAGAATCTGTAGCGGAAATTTTGAGTAGTTCAGGGAACTGGCAAATGCCACCTCTGACTGGTCCAGCCAACCCCATCTATTCTCCGCCTCCCATTGAGTCCCAGCTGATTGGCTGGGTCTTCTTTGGTTTCCCTATACTGGAGAACGGAGCTGGAAAGCAGGTTAGCGGGGTGGGGAGGGAAGGGGGATTTTGCAGTAGCCTTTCCCTGCCACGCCCACCAAGCCACGCCCACAGAACCGGTCGTGAAATTTTTTTGAATCTCACCACTGAAGCAGACTAAGGCCCAAAGGGGGCACCGCAAAAACTTTTACGCAGCCTAAGCTTGGCTTCGTTTATCCAGTAGGTACCCGGGAGGGGGTGCACTAAGATTTGTCAGTGCTTTGGGCACCAGTGAGCCTTCATCCGCCACTGCTTCCGT